AAAAAATGTCAACGTGATCAAAAGAGCAATAAACACTCATCCGTGTGCCTCGGTGGGGATGCGGGTGGCTGTGGGTAGATGGAATAACTAAACAGCGTGTTGGGGGTAGAAGGGCCACTTACACTGTGATGAGCAGTGCCCTGGGGCAGCGGCTCTGTCATTCTCACGGGTGCCACTCTCACCTCCGAGTGCCCGATGGGTGGCCAGCCACCGCCCTCCTGTCCTCCATAAGGAGATGAGCATGCTTCACTTGCGCATGGCCTGACTCTGGTGCTGTCTCCCTCCAGGTGACACAGAAGTACTCTCTGGTGATCGTGCAGGGCCATCTGGTCTGCGAAGGGCTCCTGCTCTTTGGCCAACAACACTTCTACGTCTGCGAGAACTTCACGCTCTCTCCTGTGGGTGACGTCTATTGCACCCGCCACTGCTTATCCAAGTGAGTGCCCTCCCCTCCCAGCAGATTCGTCCCTGAGCCCCCCGAAGCTGTCTTCTCTGCCACCTGCACTTCTACGCCTCCCACCTTGTCCTTACTGTGGACTTCAGTGCAGGCTGCAAACTGAGCCATGAGATAAAACAAACGAACCTTAAGGCACAGGCAGCCACAATTGTGGTTCCCCAAAGCTGAAATCTGGAGCAGTTAACAACGTGGCCATTCTCCAAGCCTCTCCTGGTGTGGGATGCCCGGCAGGATGGGGGGATTGCTCCTTAGGTGATTTGGGTAATAGAATCCAGTCCCATCAGGTTACTCACTCAACACCTTCTTCCTTGTTCACGGTTTTATAAGACATCAGGCATTGTCCCTTCATGCCCACAAGGGACATAGGTGCAATCGGCAGTGTAAACAGGTTCTTTTGGATAGAGTTGGGAGCACGCTGTCAAGGGACAACTTACATGTGTGTGGAAGGACTCTTTGAGGCTCCCACTTGGAGAACTGGCATGGGGCTGGTGGGGTGAGGGACAGCTACTTGAGGAAGTAGGCTGAGATCTGAGTCTTGAAGGATGGGTGAGATTTGGGTAGAAATTTAAAGAGTTATTTTTACACCAACTAATATCAGAGGTCTTTGGCAGCAAACTCCAAGGTTCTTCTTTAGGATTAAATGTATTTGATCTCTTTGGGTTCAGTCAGCTCTCATGGATGGATTCCCCCGTGTTTATAAAGCACAGTCATTCAAAATCAAATTGATTGTGTTTGTACTTCCGCTAAAAGTTCTGTTGTCAAGTTGTATGTTTTCATCACTTACAAAGAAATTCGGATGAAAATTTCTCTGTCCAGATGTAGGCCTTGATTTTTCTGGTTAGCCAAGTCTCAAGTGAAGACAAGATGACCTCTTAGCCCAGTGGCTCTCAAACTAATTTGCATCGAATCACCTGGAGGGCTTGTTAAAACAGACTTCTGGGACCCACCATTATCCCAGTTCCTAATCTGGGAGGTCTGGGTTAGGGTTTGAGATTTCAGCCAGCTCTCAGCTAGTACTGACGCTATTGGTCTGGGACCACACTTGGAGAACCGTGGACAGAGTAGCCAGTCTTACCTGCCAGTAACTAAGAATTTAAGCCCCAGGTGTCATGTCATTTCTAGCTTATGTCAGGAAGCAAGAGTTTAAGGAGTCTGGAAGGGTAGATGGCAGCCCACCCTCCTTTGATTCAGGTTCGCTTTAAAATGCTTGGCATTTTTTCTCTCTGCTAATTTCCATCTTTTATTCATATCAGACGTTCACCGATTGCAGTGAGTCTTCTGTGCTTTTCCAAGGCAGAAGCATAATTAATACTTGGCACACTCCTCCCATCTTATTGCTCATGTTTTATTGATACTGATCAATATGGACAATGGATCTGCAGACTCGCCTTTCTGAGAGCGGATGAAAGCTTTCTTTCTACCTATATGCATGGCATGCCCATGTAATGACTGCATAATCCATTGCTTCACTCTCCACCTCTGGTTTAAATTGAGTTAGTGTTTAGATAAGATCTTATTGATTAGGTAAATTGTGTTTATGAGGTGCATGTAATCACGATCGAATTGACTATCTGCACTTTTAATAGAAGCCCGGGCTTCAGGTTGGATGCACTCGCTTGCTTTGCAATGACAAGGGAGACTTCCCATGTCTGGAAATGTGCTCTTCTAGAATGCAAGTAGGAGTGTCGTGAGAACAAATTACTGCCTTGGAATGTCATGTGGGAATTGCATAGGAAATTTTAGTCTCCATACCTCAAAGAAGAGTTTGTTAACCAGACCATGCTTCCTCTTGGCAGTCTTGTATACTGCCTGAGAAACTGCTGGCGCTCGTGGAGATGTGACTCTCAGAGATGGACTATTAGATCACGTCAGATCAATGGGGATTAAGTCTTATTTTGACCATGGAGACTAAGGAAGGTACATAAATAAGCCAGTTAAAAATAAAGCTAAGTCAACTCTGAAATGTTTCTCTAAAAGACTGCCATAAATTTGAGTGTAGTTGAGCATTAGACCTTGAAAGAGGCTCTCTGATGGACCATAAAAATATCCCAAATAAAACTCAAGAACACTGCAAGTCCTCCAGCAGTGATTGGACTTGTGTACTTTGGAACTTCCCTCAGAAAGTAAGAACCTTTCTAGAAGGTTACATTTTGCTTCCGATGGGACCCCTTCTTGGCTGAATAGGGTGACCGTATTAGTTTGCTAGAGCTGCTGTAACAAAGTGTCAAAACCTGGGTGGCTTTGAAAAAACAGAAATTTGCTGTCTCACCATTCTGGAGGCTAGAAGTCTGAAATCAAGGTGTCAGGAGGCCACGTTCCTGCTGCAGCTTTGGGGGAGGAGCCTTCCCTGCCTCTTCGAGCTGCTCGTGCTTCCTGGCAATCCTCAGTGGCCCATGGCTTGTAGATGCATCACTCCGGTCACATGGCATCTCCTCCCTGTGTGTCTTCACGTGATCTTCCCTCTGTGGGTCTTTCCCCTTTGCATGAGGAGACTGGTCATACTGGATTAAGGCCTGTCTTAATCACCTCACCTTACTACCTCCATGATTTACTTCAAATAAAGTCACATCCTGAGGTTCTGGGGGTTAGGACTTCAACATATGTCTTTTGAGGGTCACAGTTCTACTTCTGACAGCCAAACTCACAAGGTATATAGCTTTTGATTCATTTGGTGGGAATCCAAACCATCCAACTGGCTCTTCACGATGGGGTGCTTTTAATTAGGTATTTCCTTCACATCAGTCAGCAGTTTTAAGGCATCCCTTCTCTGTTTAATTCAATTCAACAAATACTTACTGAAAATCTGTCTTGTACCAGCACTGTGGTAGACTCCACAGATACAGAGATCACTCAGATGTGGGCTGAGTCTGGTAAAGAGTTTGTGACCTAGTGCATGATTTGGGTATAAATTCCAGGTGTCAATTCTGACAGTCATTGGATACATTCAAATGTGGGGCAAATCAAAGTACATTTTAGTCTGAAATCCACTTCTGTTACCAAAAACTAGGTCAATCAATATCATAATTATCCGTTAGCTTACTGTGATCTTCCTAGTTAAGAATATTAAAAGATATGTTATGACCACATTGGTCAATTTGCATATTTTGTGACAGCTGTCATGCAAGAGCTGTGAACAGCATCCTTTGACTGATGGCCACAGCCCCACCTAAAGAAGAACATGGGTTGGCTGTTTCTTTCTACTCACTGACCTTGGGGGCCTGAACTCTGATGTAGTGCACAGAAAATGTAGAATATAGTGCTGGCAAAGACACCCAGTTGTAGCTGTGTGACTAATGCTGTATAAGACGGAACTCCAATCGGGACCCTCCATCAGGGGTCAGTCCCATTTTCACAATTTAATTTTCATAAGAAATTGGGTCTGTCTGAGCATTCCTGCTCTAAGTGGTTATTCAGTCCCTACAAGCAATAGAAGAATTAACGTCTTTCCTCCTAAAAGCTCCTTCCTAAAGCATTTTCCAGGGGGTTATTCCTCAGGTCACAACTATTTCAGAGTCCTGGTTGAGAATCAGCACAGAGGACACTGAAAAGCGGGGAGCTCCAGAGAGGAGCTGTGTCAGTGCCCGCCAGCCTGTCCGCCTTGGGAGAGCAGGTGCTGTGTGTGAGCTTGGGTGTTAGACTCAAGAGGACAGGGCTTGGAATTCAGTTCCACATGAAAGTCTCTTCTCTTCTTTGGAATGCAGTTTCCTGATATCTGAGAGGGGAATGTTAATCACACATGCTCAGCAAGGGGTTGGTGTGCGGATCCAATTAAACAACAGACAGGGAAGTGCTGGACGGGCTGTAGATTTGGGGCAGTGGTCAGTCTAGAGCAGATGTGGAGGGTGAGATCTGTGGACGTGGTCTGTTTCCCCACGAATTCACTCACAGTCAGCTGGGGAGAGAAACCAACCAAAGATGCGGCTAAGGTATGGAGGATGTTCGCTGTGGTCCCCCAAGCGTGGGGGCTGCAGGACCACAGAGGAGTCATCATCGTCACTGCCACCAGTGCCTTCACCTGGGATGCTGTTTGGCCTCAGTCAAGGGTAGGAACTAGTTACTTCTCTGGCCTCACTGGTAGTCAGAGAAGTTTAGGTGAAGCTCAGCTTAGCCCCAGGGGGAAGCATTAATAACGGACAGAGGGCCTCAGCCAGCAGTAGGTTTGAATGAAAGCATCCAGGCAGAAGCATCCGAACCAAAGCCACATTTGTGTTTGATCAGTCCTCCAGCAGTGTGGCCCAGAGCAGGGCCCTGAGAGAATTGTTGGAAGAAGGGGCGGTAGGACCTGCAAAGGGTTTGAGTCCACTCGGGGGTGCTGAGTAGCAGGCCCAGATGGTGTCCCACACCAGTAACCTTGCAGTCTACCCGGTAGGGACCATTCTGCATAGCACGCAATGCTGAGCTCTTAGCACCGCGGACACTGGGCCACCACCACCAACCGCTGAGTGGAGGAGTCTCGCCGGCCTACGTGAGGGCCTGATCTCTCTCTATTTCCCCCAGAAGCATGGTCTGCCCTGTAAGCTGGGTGGCGAGGGCCGCACCGGAGCTGGGGTCGGAGGAGGTGGAACACATTCCTGCAACCTTGTGCTGGAGTGAGGGCTCTTCGGCTCTGTGATGGATACGCAGATTTCTCGAGGGCTGAGGTGCTTGGGAGACCCTTGCTTTCTCAAGTCCTAAAAGGGTGTTTTATCTGAGCTTTTGTGGTCATTTACACAATGTAAAATTGCTGCTCAACTTGGATATTCAGAAAAGTTACCGTCCATAACCGAAATCAAATTTATTTCTCAAGTCCCCATTTGTTTTGCGGGTGGGAAGTTCATCTGGTTGGTTATTGAAAGGCATTTCAGTTACTTCTGGTGCAGAAATTGTTCTCTTTGCGATACTTAGTCAAATTCATGAATCGCCCTCCCCCGACCTTTCTTCCCAAGGCGAGTCAGTATGACCTCTGGAGACGGCAGCTGGCCTGGCCCCGCGCCCATCCTCTGCTCTCAGCTACGACGTCACTAGTCCCTGGCTTCAGGCACAGTGCCCTGGGGTCCACCAGTGAGGCTGTGGTCCTTATCTTTCAGCCCATCAGCTCTCAGCCCTGTCGCCCACCTCTTTGGGGGCTCAGAGTTTTCTGTCACTTTCTCCCATTTTACACTGGGTGCCACCCCAACGCCTGGTCCACCCTGGGCTCCACGCTGCCCGAGGCTGTGCTGAACACAGGCTTGTCATCTTCCTGCCCTGCGTCTCAGGAGCTTGAAACTTCTGCAGACCTCACTGCATATCTCCTCCATTCTTCACTCATCCTCTCAACCCATTTCTGACCCCTGTGCCCAGAGCCTTTTCACCCTTACGCTCTGCACCCTGTGTCACTGTCTGTCCTGGAGGCAGTCCCCTTGCCTTGCTGTCCCCTCGTCTGGTGTGGCCGGTGCTTCACCTATTCCTCGGGGCAGGCTGACCCAGACAGGGCTTATTGGGTCAGAGGGCTCTGGCACCGGTTGGCAGTGGCCTTAGGTCTCCTCCCATGTGTCTTACAGTCTCAGGCGGGGCCACAGGGCAGGGAGGGGACAGGCCCGCCAGATGCCCCCTCACTGTGTGGCTCGCTTCCTTTCCAGCATCAGCGATCCGTTCATCTTCAACATGTGCAGCAAAGATAGGTCCTCCGACCACTACTCATGCCAGCGCCACAGCTACAGTGACCTCAGGGAGCTCCGGCAAGCTCGCTTCCTCCTGCAGGTATGCCCTGGGGTGGGGGTGGGGGGAGAGGGAGGGCCATCTCTTCAGGGGACACGTGATCCAGGTGCCATCCAGGCCCCATTAGAATGTGAGGGGCACGCCTCTGTGACCCACATCACAGCTCTTTGGGACACACAGTGACTCCCCTTGGCTTATGTTGGGTTGGTCCCCTGGCTGAGATGAAATTCTGCCCTCTGCTTCACTGTCTCCAGAGTCCCTGTCATTTGGCTGCTGATCCCTTCTCTCTTACTATGTCATTTAGGATCCAGCCTCTTTGCTTTATTTTCCCCTTGACACGACCCAGAGCGGCCGTGGAGATACAGGAATACAGGACAGGGCAGTTCCATGGCCTCGCGGCAGTTGAGTGCCGGTCTGCCCTCTTCTGACCACGTGGACCCCTCCTCAGGCCACCGCCCCTCTCCTCTGCCCTGCCCACCACTTCACCCACCTTCCAGCTCCTGGTCATTTCCTGGCCATGTGGTTTAGAGGTCTCCTGATTGTCCCCTCCAGCCAGGGTCCCAGAGCCTTGTCTGGTGCATTCAAGGGCTCACCCAGGTACTAAACAGAGCTGACTCCTTCCAGAGGCAGAGCTCTGCTGTCTGCGAGTCGCAGCCCACCCCAGAGAGACATCACCTGATTTAGAAGCATCACCTCAGTGGCAGAGGGAGGAGGAAGAACTCTGGGGTCCCTGCTGGCCCCAAACACTTCTTACCTTCACCAGTCCAGCCTCAGTAAAAGCGAAGCTTTTGTGCCCAGGGGCCTCCCAGGCAGAGCAAGAAATGAGGGACCACTCTTGTAGGAAGGGAGGGCCCAGATCCTTCCCCCTACCCTCTTGGCAGAATGTTTGCTCTGCAAAGGCCAACAGAGTGGGCAGGGCTTGGCCCTCAGGAACCAAGAATAATTTCATTTGTAAATTTCTTTGTTCCTTGATCCTCCTGCAGGAGGCCTTATTATTATTTTCTGAAATGAAGACTCAGGGAAGCCCTTCTGGGGGTGCTCATGACCAGTCACCCTGCTGACAAGGGTTTAGCTGACTCCTTTCCTCTCCCTCCCCCTCCGCGGCTTTTGCCCACAAAGCAGCGTTGGTTCTCATTTGGCCTGCCCTTAGTGCGGGTCTTTGAGCGGAGAGTGAGCTGGGAAGGGGCTGGTGGAGGAGGCATCACCCTGACAGTGCTGACGTCAGCAGCAAGGGCTCAGTCCCACGGGGCGCCGCCACCTGGGCACCATTGTGCACCTCTCTGGGCTTCCGTTTCCCTGCAGTGCACAGGCAACCACGTCCTGTCTTTTCCACCATTACATATGTAGCATTTAGTACATTTTGGGCACGTAGCAAGTACTCACAAATTATTATTTTTTTTTATAATTCTATGTCTGCCTTACAGGTTATATATAGTAGCAAACAGGTGTAGTGGCTTTCTTTCTCTTCAGTAAAAGGGGATTATTTCCAGATGGCTGGTTAGCCTGACAGTGGTGGAGGGCAGAAACGTCAGGGCGTGTGTGTGTGTGTGTGTGTGTGTGTGTGTGTGGCCAGGTGAGGCAGGGGGCGCTTTGTGAGCAGGACTGTCACCCGTCCAGCCCTAAATTCTCCCAGGAGAAAGTCAGAGTCTAGGCACTCCAGGTTGCCGGAGCAAGACTCCATAAGAGTCTACATTCATCATCCATTTGCACATTATTTATATTTCTGCTTGTAAAAAAAAAGTCTGAGGCTCTTAAGTGCACCTGCAGAGGAGGGGACCTTACATTATCATTATAAGGACTTTCCCTCTGCTCAGGAGTCTAGTGAGCTGCACTTTGAGAACTCACTTCCAGCCAGGTAGGAGCAGGACCTGACTGGTGTTGGATGCAGCACCTCATCTCTGAGTCTGACCTTCACCCACCCTATCTGTGCCTCCAGGCCTGGGCCTCACCTCCGCCCCCCAGGTCCCTCCCTCCAGCCCTGGGAATCCTCTCACTGACTACCTCTCATCCCTGAGCCTCCTCCTGTATGTGGGCTCACTCTAGCACTATTCCAAGTCTACTGTTTACTTGCTGTGGCTTAGAAGGGCGAGGGAGAGAGAAAGAAGGGAGGGGAAAGAGAAAGGAAATCAGATAGAGTTCGCTTAGGCATTAACAAAATACCCTTGAAACAACTTTGCTGTGTCAGTGTGGCCACATCAAAATGGCTCAGTGAAGTGGGCTTGGCAAAGCACACATGCCTTTAAGACTGTAGGTCAATGCAGGATACTGCCCAGATCGGGATGTTACACGCACCCAGTCAGCCCCTAGTGTTCCTGGTAAGATGACGCTTCGGTTTAGGAAATCAAACCCTTGACCAAGCAGTGAATTCATTGTTTGACGTTGGGAGGGATTCTTGATGGATGTTCATTGGTCAGGGTGGGTCAGTCTCGATCTTCTGTAAATCAGGCATTTACGGAAAATCAGTCTCTGTTCTTAAGTTTTATTTTCCAAGGGCACATGCGTGAGATTTGCCATTTCATATTCTCCAGTTCCATTTTTAGATTGAAATCCTTTCACACCTGACACAGAGTCCCAAATGACCCACAGCAAGTGGCTCTGTTTCCACGGGTGTCTCCATTCCATGAAACTTTAGGAAAAGTAAAAGGGGTTTCTCTTTATAGGACATCGCCCTGGAGATCTTTTTTCAAAATGGATATTCCAAGTTTCTTGTCTTCCACAACAGTGATCGGAGTAAGGTCTTTAAAAGGTAAGGCTCTGAAAAGTCCTCCACTAAGCAAACTGATCATGAACCAATAGCAGAGGAACAGCTCTGTTCACAGGAGAATTGTTCTCAACCTACAGTGAGCAGGGCTTAGGTTAGACACAAGGAAGGACTCACCCACAGAACTGTTGAGTTACAGAGCACAGTATGGAGAAAGCTATAAAAGCTCCTTCCCTAAATCCTGGGAACCAGGTTCTATTTCATGGACTGAAGTAGTTTGAGACAACAATAACTGAAGGGAGAAAAAATTGTGCAGATGCAACATATTTAATGAGGCTTCCAGAATTTTCTGGCTTTATCTTTCAATTCTCCAAGTAAATTTTTTTTTTGGCTGAATCTTTCTCTTTGATCCCAGTTGCCAATTTTAGTTGTTTTGACTTCATATTTCATTGGTAAGAGCTCCATACAACTGATTGCCCACTTCCTCAAGGAACATCTTTTTTTCTTAAAGAGAGAAGCATGCTGCTTTAATTTAACTTGTCTTTCTCCAAATAGATTAATCAATCTAAGGGATGTAAGCTATAGTTTAAATTTTTAGTTTATTTTTATTGGCATTAAAGTTTTAGATACGTAGATTTGCAGAGAATCTAGAAGGGACCGGAGGAGAGGTAGGTTCCTGGCCATAAACAGACCACACAAAAGTTGGATTAATGGAGGGGGTGGTCACATTGAGCTCCATTTTGGGCTGGAAGTTCTGAGGTGAGGCCTGACATCCCTGGCCGAATGTTCCGGGTCATTTTGTGCTCCGAGGTTCTAGTCTTGTCTTCCTGTCAGCCCTGGCCAGTCACTGGCACCAGGACCAACTGCTGGGTTGGAAGGAGAGGGCCAGGGTGGAGAGAGACAGCTTTCACAGAGAGGCTGTTTGCGCCCGCCCTGGGCGCATCTCCATGGACTGTGATTCTCCCTTTGAGGTTCTTTCAAGAACGGTGGTCATACCGCCTCCTGAAAGGTCTTCAAGTTCCATTTCAGACCCAACTGAAGGAGACATGCAGCGTTGAAACTTACATTCATTTTCTCTTGTCATTTCTGCGCAGTAAACAAAGTTTTCCATGATTGATCTAGAAGTCTTATACATCTGTAGCTCAGGCAGTGAGTGGTGCCCAACCCCACTTCATGCTGCTCACGGAGCGTTAAATTAAGACGCCCCTTGTCCCTGGACTACCGCAGGGGTTGCTGAAATCAGCAACAGAAATGCCAAGTGCCTGGCCCAGAGGAGGTCTCTAAAACATGTAATTTTTATTGTAACTATTGTTCTGTTGTTATCATTGCTGGTATTAAAGCTAGAATGTGTAACGGCAGAGGATGTTAAGGGTGCCTGCCAGGTACATCCAGATCTGGGGGCAGATGGGGCCCCCTGAGGTGGCAAGAATGGACCAACCTCTTGCCTGGCTCCTAAGATGTCTCCCTGGTGGTGGAAAAGTCCTGACTCTGCTAATAGGATGGTTTCCCTTTTTGTCCAGCTTCTGCTCCTTCCAACCCAGCTTGAAGGGAAAAAGCTTCACGGAGGACCCGCTCAATCTAAGGTAACGGGTGCAGGGGGGAAGCCAGCCATGCTCTCTGGGCCAGCTGTGTTGGCCTCACTTTGATTGTCTCCATTTGCCTGATCCCACTGCCAAGAAGGCGGGCCAAGAGCACACCAGCCTGCCTTCCAGATTATATTTCCCGCTCCCAGCCCCATAGCACCCTCATTCTACTCCTGAAGTTCCTTCTGCCAATTAAACCTCTACAGCCAACAGACTTGAAGTCCCAAGTGCTCCGGGGCTTGTTCAAACCAAAATGGCAGGGAGTGACCCTCCGCCTGTGGTGGGTGGGGGCAGGTTGCCCAGAAAGCTGTCCACCTTGGGATCAGGCCCTCAGGTGGGGGTGTGAGCCATCCCAGGTCTGTCATTTCTATCTGGGACTCTCTGAAAGCTCGGAAAATAAATAAATACATGATGGTATCAAATCAGATGTTAATTTATGAGTCTATGATAGGGAGCATCTTTCCCAGGAGACAAAAGGCTTACAGCCCCTTCCCAAGGCCCCCGCTTACAAGTACCCAGTTCTCCGGAAGGCCTGTTCAGGATCAGCAGGTGCTTTATTTCAGTTAGGAGTGGGAATAGGGCGAAGACACTGGTTGCTGGTCTTCTCCAGAAGTTTGTGGGGGATTGGACGGGGAGGGGAGTGGTGTTCAAAATATTTATAACGACTATGGGACGCACGCCATCCGTTCTTTTAAAACTATTTACTGATAGCTTGTCATTTACCGATAGCTTGTCGTGTGGTGTTTGCTGCTTGACAGGGCAACAAGCAAAATGCTTGATCTCCTCTGTTTGTTGAGTTTGCACTCTTGTGAGGAAGATAGATAGAGAACAATTTAAAAGAGTGAAATATAAAGCATCTTTGATAATGATAAGTTTAAGTATAAAAACCAAACCAGGCAGAGGTAAGGGTTGAGATCTTAGACTGGATGGTAGGGGAAGCCCTCACCAAAAATGTGAGATCTAAGACTTGAACAAAGTGGGAGATAAGTTATTCAGATAACTGGGGAAAGTGTATTTCAGGCCAAGGGTAAAGGCCCCCAGGGGGAGCGTGGTGGGCCTGGCTGGGGCCACAGTGGTTGGGGTGCGGGGAGTCAGTGGGAGGAGAGTGAGACGTAACCGGCTAGTTCACGTAAGCCTCGGGGCTCATGGTAACGGTGTCGGCTTTTACTCTGAATGAATGGGGAGCATTGGAAGGATCACGTGGCCTAATTTATATTTTAGAAGACTCACTTGGGCTGCTGTGTCGAGAATAGACCATAGTAAGTCAAAGGCAGAAGCTGGGAGGCCGGTTAGGAGGCTTTTGCAGTAATGCAGGCAAGAGATGATGGTGGCTCGGATGGGGGGAGGGGGTGCGGGGAGGGACAGTAAAGGTGGTGTGAAGTGCTCAGAGTGGACATGGCTGGGCATGACTGAAGGTACATCTCATGAGATTTGTTAACAAATCAAGCATGGGTAGGATATGTGTGTGTAAGAGAATGGACTTAAGGATAAGTCCAAGGATTTAGGCTTGAGCAATTGGGAGTGAAACGGGGAAGACCACAGGAAGAACTACTCTGGGGGTATGGTGGATATCAGGGCTTGATTTTGGACATGTTCATTTGGAGATGCCTGTCGGACATCTAGGTGGAGAAGTCATGTAGGTGACTGAATATATGATTTTGAAATTCAGAGGGGTGGTGCTCCAGAGAAATGCAGATCCAGGCTCATGCAGGATGAGCCTTGACAAAATGAGGAAGCTGGAGCCCTGGTCCCAAGCTCTGAGGCCACCCAAGCAGCCAGGGCATGTGGTGATGGATGGGCGGCAACAGGCAGCCATGAGCTTTGGGGTCAACCTGGTTTGGGCTCATAGTAGGTGCTCAGTAAACTGTAATACCTATGTTTGGTTTTAGAATCAGCTGTTGTGTTTTGGGGCGTGTTTATGGAGCAGTTGATTAGCACGTCTGTCTGCTCTTAGCTCTTCTGAGGGTCTCCCAGCCCTTCCCCTACCAGACACAGTGTGCCTTCCCGCATTTCGGGGTGGGGAAGGCAGTGGTGGCTCCCAGACTTAGGACCCCTCATTCATGCTTGGAATGAACGTGGCCATTTTTCATTTGGATTACCAAGGACAGTGCCCCATCCATACACCAAGTCTTAACAAATGCCTAGCTGCCCTTGGGACACTCCAGTGAACACGAGCTTCTCATCTCTGAAGGAGGCATGTGGTCCATTCTCAGGGTTTTCAACTGGCCCACGATGCTTGGCATGTGCTATGGATTTTCATGTCTTCAGCCGCTAGCTCTTCATGACTGATCTGGCCCCTCTAGAGGCCATCCTGACATATGGGAGACCAGAGCTTTTTGGTACCAGAATTTTGCCTAGAATTTCAGTGACAGTGGTTGCCGCCATAACTGAATTCCAAGGAGGTTCTGTGGGCCTGGAGCCCAAGTGGAAAATGCTTGCAAAGCCTAGATGAGCCTGGGATCTGTAATCCTGTGTCTCCCCATGTGCAAGACTAGACCATTCTGAAGGCAGCATGGCAGCATAATCAGACATCATTGGGGTGCAGGGCTTTGCAAGCACACAGTGGCTTCTCATGTAGAGCCAGCCAGCTAGACGCCCCCCCCCACCGGATAAGCATCCAATGACCAGAAAGCTGCACGATATTAGGCACAGGCAGGCTCCGTGGAGATGTGGGAGTAGCTGAAGTTACAGGAAAAGGGAAGCTAGTTATCAATGTACAAGTAAAGAAACACACATTTTTGTACTTGAAGTTATCTGTCCCCTTCCACAAAGGGCTGGAGACAGCTTCAAAACTAAATATAGGCTACAATGATCCTTTAAAAATTACCCCAAAACTCCTTTAAAGGAAAAAAACATAGATGGGATATCAGGTACATGGAGTGATCTGGTTACTCTAATTGTCCCAAAACTAACAAAAATCAAACAACTGTGCTGGGTTACAACGTTTTCCAGTGACATATAACAAGAAACAGAGGGTTTTGTGCACTTTGTTTTTTCCTGGAACATACTTTCTCTTGGCACTGAATATCAGATTTGTCCTTGTCTAAATAGGGTAGTTCCCTTTTTATAAAAAATGAAAAAAGAGCATGACAGAATGTAACTTTCTATGCTGATTCTCTGAAAAAGCAGAGCCCTCACATTTTGATGTATTTCTGTACAGACGTGGCTTTGGGATGTGATCTGGTTCAGTTCCATCTCTTCATAGGGGTCTCAGTTCCTTCTGAGCCCAGAGTTCAGAGAAATACAAGGCCTGGGTGCCTGTCTGGCCCTTCTCTGAAATCTCTGTGGCACACGGCACACGTCTTTGAATGGGTGAAGGGCATCTTCCCATGGCTGTGGTCCCTGACAAGGCCTGAAATAAATACTTGCAGTGTCATCCAGACCTAAGTGTCCTTGGGCTGGAAGAAACTGTTGGTTGTCAGGTAGTGCCTATACTTAGGGCCTTACTGTATCTGGATGCTTGTAGTTTCTGAAATGTTCTCTCAATTGTACAGATGACTTAAATATAATGGTTAGGATGAAATTCATTTTTTGGCACAAAGTTCTGCAGTTGAGGAAGTAGCGTCTTTTATGGATTTCCTTTTAATGAATGAGTTTCCTTTATAGATTATTTTTGAAAAATAGTGAAAGACAGAGAACTTAGAAAACCAACCATAAGAAGCTATAAACTCCCATGAGAAGATGGTCTTCCACGATAATCAATCACACCCCTCAGGGCACTACTGGTGGCACTGTGGAGGCTAAATTTCAAGTACTCCATCTCCCCACTTCTGCCCCTTCGGTCCTAGTCTCCGTAGATCATCACTGTTGACCAGCTGGAAGACTGAGGATCTGTAATGTGCATGATTGCTTTGATAGAGAGATTTTCCTCCATCACTGAGTGGGGAGACATGCTCCTTTGGCTTCTTGGTAAAGCACAGCCCTGGGACAGCAGTTGTAGGGGCCACACAACTCAAACCCCGGGGTTACAGCAGAATCACTGGAACCAGAGGTGCACTAAACCCCTGGTGGGATGACCCATGCCCTGGCATCGTGGATTTTCTCACATGGTTGGTTCAGCAGGCCCTGGGCAGTGGACCCCTGTGACCTGCAGTGAGCTCCACCTGAGCCCCGCTCAGACTTCGTTTTGGGGCCCCTCCATGCTGCTCTCTGTCTTTCCTATTCATGTCTCCTCCTAGCACAATCCTTAGTCCTGACCTCAGACCTCTTTCTAGGCAGAAGCCCAACTTAAGCCCTGTTCTCCGCACCAAGCCTGGCCCCTTTGTCCATCCAGCTTCACCCAGCCGAGGTGCTTCCACGGGGTAGTGGGCAGGTGTGTGAAAGTCCAGAACTGAGAGAGGAGCAACTCACTGGCTCACTGTCCCCCCACCCTACTTGCCACCTGTGTCCAGCCACCACCAGAAAACCTGGGGCACAGACAGAGAAGCTATGCGTTGTCTTTTTATTATTTTAGCATCTTTCTTGGGAATCTTCAATAAGATAAGAGCAACATGGATCATCTTAAGTTAGTCTGGTGATCCAAGGTTAAGGCACTCTTTCTCCCAAAATGCCTTAACTCTTCAGGATGGTTGAGGAACTTTATGCTTGCCATAGTCACTCATAAATTAGCCCTTGGCAGATACACAAAGATCTGTTTTTTGCTGCAAATAGGCTGTAAGATTTTTTTAAATTTTTTATTGTATTTTAAATTCAGTGTAGATTCATAGGAAGTTGCAAAAATAATACAGAGTCCCCAAGCAGCTTTCACTTGATTTCTCCCAATGGTTCCATCTTGTATAACTAAAGTACAATTTCAAAACCAGGAAACTGACATTGGTACAATTTGTATGCATAGTTCTTTGTCATTTTATCACACGTGCAGATTCTTGTAACCCCCACCACGATCAATCGACGTACACAATTTGATCACCACAGTCATGGTCATGCTCAGCAGCATCAATCACCCCTTGTCAACCTTGACCCCTGGCAACCACTGATCTGTTTTTCATCTCTAGCATTTTGTCATTTAGAGGATATTCTGTAAGTGGAGTCACAGAGTATGTGACCTTTGAAGATAGGCCTTTTTTACCCAGAATAATGCCTTGAGATCATCCAAGTTGTATCCGTAGCGTGCTCTTTTGTTGCTGACTGGTATCACATACCAGAGTTGGTTAAACCATCCTGTTGAGGGAAACTTGGTTGTTCCTAGTTTGGGGCCATTACAAACAAAGCAGACTATTTACATTTAACAAATTACTAAGGTGTTAGCACATCAGTCTGGCCATTATATATTTTTTTGTTTCCTATTTTTCCCTCTGTTGTTCATTTCTCTTTTTCCTGCCTACCTTTGCATTACTGAAAGATTCGATAAAATTCTACTTTGATTTATGTAGTTTTTTTTTATTTGAGGTTTTTTTGGTATGACTTCCTGGTATAAATTTTAGTTGCTTGAGGTATCATGTTATACACACATAACTTATCAGAGGCAACTGGGGTTGGGATTTTACCAGTTCAAGTTAAGCGTAAGAGCATATGTCTTTTAAGTCTTAAAGCCTTCTTTTAAATCTTCAGTTGTCTGTCATTTATATCTATCGTTGTCGTAAGCATTTCCTCTATACACATTAAAAAAAAATCACACATCAAGTATTTCCCAAAGTCATTTTTGCACACAGATCATCAAAAAAGGCAAAGTGAATTTAAGAAGCAATTCAATGGCTTGGCCGGCACCAGAGAGCCTGGCTTCCAGAATGTTCCCCATGACACTCTCTTTCTTCTCCTAACTGAGCGCTTTTCTTCGTCAGAGTTGTTTATTCTTCTTAGCTGATTAGTCTTCAAGTTTTTGTCATAAGCTACTCTAGGGAGATGTTGAGCGAATCCTGGGGATGGAGACACAAAAGGCCAAGGTGATTACTCCATGTCACGGGGTGAAACACAGCTAGGGAGAGGTCACACAGGGGTCACCTAGGTCATGCCTGACTCTCAGAGAGGTGGTGACTGGATGAGCGTGGAAAGGACTTTTGTTCTATTTGAGGAAAGAGAAACCCCATGGTGTTCCTATCAAGTGTCTGGGGGCCTAATATGCTCTCCAGGAAGTAAAGGTGACTGGGGTCTTTTAGAGCATGAGGGACCATCAACACGAATCCTTCCCTTGACAGAAAAAGGAATAAACTATAGAAGATGCCTTCTCTTAACGAGCTCCGTGTCTCGTCTTTGCTTCATCCTACTGCCAAAGTTTCCTGACAAATGAGGGGTCTAAGGTGAATGCATCCTGGGGCAAATCAAAGCCCCCGCCTGTTAACTTCTCAAGCCTGGTGAGGTTCAATGTGCTTAAAATCTCTCCCTAAGACATAGCTGCAGGCGTGAAAGCCCAGCAAAGCACCTAGAGATGAAGGATGGCAAAACCCGTCATCGTGCACGCCACCCACTCCGCCGGCAGGAAATCCAGGAGAAGCGCTGGGCAGAGATTTTGAGGACCACGTGCAGTAGGGGAAGCTGCTGCGATGGAGCCGGAGAGGGAGTAGAAGGGCCAACCTGTGGGCCAGACCAAGACCCCTTGTGGAGGCGCACGGAGATCTTTTTCCTTAACTCCTGCTCTTCGCTGATCCTTCTTAATGACTAAGAAGGGAACATTAATTCTAAAGAAAAAGTGTCTCAAGGGAACAGAATGGAAATGGACAGGATCCAAATAACTAGCCACGATTCTGTTTGGAATGAATGCCCCTGTGCCCCTTGGGTCAGAGATGAAGTAGCTAAAATATAGCAGGATGGCTCCCCTGGAGACATGCTCAAGGCCCAGCACTCCCGTGGGGACTCCTGAGCCTCAGGCATGGCATCTCATCATGCACTTCACAGACACGGGTCCTCTATTCCTCTACAGACGGGCTTCTAAGAAATCATTCTGGTCATTAAATGAAGGGGAAATTGTAAAGAATGACATTCAGTGCTCACAAGGACATAATGAAATGGGTTCTCTAATATATTCCTGGTAGATATATAAATGGGTATAAACTTTTTATAAGCCACTTGATAGCGCATATCAAAAGTTATTTTAAAAACACATCCTTTAACACAGTATTTGCGATAATGAAGCTCTACCAGAAAATAATGCAAAATATTTTAAAAGTCTTAACCATTCAGGCTTCATCACAAAACAATTTCTGTTAGTGAAAAACTGGGAACAACTTGAAAACCCATCAGTAACTTATAGTAACGTATATTCATGCTAAACTATCTCGCAGATGTTTTAAATTATGGTTACTAAGATGGTGTAAACACGTGGGTTTGAAAGCAGGATAAAAATGACACGAATGCTATTATTCTAACTATGTATAAAAATATACACAGAAAAATAACTCGTAGGGAAATCTGTCAATATTACAGCTGGCTTACCCTGTAGAATTGTAAGCTGCTATATTTAAAACAATATATGGTTTTGTTCCTTTTATAATAAATAGAAAACATTTAATAAGGAGGAAAGCTGAAAAGGGAATTTTGAATCTATATCTTCAAAGATTTTAGAAATATGATAGAGTCGTCACAGCTAAGCATTACCACGGAAAAGCAGCAGTGAGGAGGGAAAAAATGAAGCACGCTGTCTGCTACGGTTTATAACATGAAAAAGAAATATGTTAGTTACACTGAACTAATGAATATCCGTCTCTTGGTGCATTTCCATTAACTACTAGAAAACTTGCCACCAACACAGGAAAGCCTTGATTTAAGCAACAAAGCAAAACTATTCTAACACTGTCTTCCTTGATCCGTTTCTTTTAGGCAGTATGAAGGCGTGAGTGAGTGGTCCAGAGAAGGTCCTCAGCTATTGTGAGGATTGACTCTACCTCTGTCATTTCTGCCAACAGCTCTAGAGGGACTAGGGACACTGTCAAAGTGGAATTTCAGCTTTGAGTTGCGCCAAGCTCCAATTCTTAGAGAGAACTGACTTCTACCAAGTAGTCCTGCTCTGAGCATCTGCTGGAGACCCACAGCAACCCTTAGAGTTGGGCTGGTGTTATTTCCACTTTACAGATGAAGGAACCAAAGCTGAGTAGAATGCCCAGGGAGATGGATGGCAAGGAAGAGGCAGAGCTGTCCCACGCCAGATGTGTCCAACTCCAGAATCTTTGGCTTTTTCTCTATACCAGGCCAGCCCTGCACACTGTTAGGCTCTGATCGCCTAACTTCCTCAAACAATGACATCACGCCCTGTCTTCTTTCATCTCATCTTCCCCACAGGTTGCACAGGGCAAGGCAAGCTTTCCCCCATTGGACACAGTCCCTGCTCCCAGCACAGTGCCTCACAAGGTATTTATTTACTGACTGCACCAACCCCTATGTGCACACATTCTTTCCTTACTCCACAAAGGTCTGCAAAAGTGTTGGACGTAATAAGATGGGAGTGCAACCTCACTCATTCACAGCCAGTCAAGGGCTGGCAGGTTTAGGCTAAAAAGCTCCTAGAACAAATTATGCAAGTGCAGATAAGAGAAAAGGATAGGACTGCTTTAAGCCCAAGATGTTAATGCTAGTACTTAGCAACAATATCTGCCCATCACTGTGGCCCAGTTTTGTCCCCTTCCCAAGACGAAATGTCCATCAGCCCTCCTACCAACCCATCCTCTGAGATTCCTGACTTTTGAAGCCCTGATCCAAAGCATTCCTATAGAACAGGCTCCCCATTTGGGAGCTGGCAGTGGTCCTGAAATGGGTGATAATGAGGTTAAGAGTATGCTCGTGTGAGCTGCCCGCGCCGTGGGCTGTAGGCAGAGTTCTGGGGTGGAAGTGAGATGGACGGCCCTTTCCTGACTCATTGTGCCTGTACATGTGGGTGTGTGAATGCAGAGACAGAAATGTATGGAATGGCAAAGAACTAAAAGCCTTTCAATCAACAAAATCACAAGCCAAGGAGGTCAGGAAAGGTATTTTATGGGCTTGGCTGGAGGAGCTATTGCAGTGATGAAAGACTCCCTCAGTTTTCTGAGGGTGCCCCCACTGCCATCTTCCCTCCCTCCTATTTCCGTTCCTGCCTTGGGGTCAGGGTCCCAGGTCACCTCCAATCTTCCTGGGATCCTTTGGCCATGGAGTTGGGTGAGACCAAATTAGAAAAGATGGCCCTTTTCGGTGCCGTCACGGTCATGTTCTTGATTTTGTTCAGCTTTTCCCGGGCCTGCTGGCATTTTCTCAGGCAAGTCCCACACAGATCCTTCTCGTCCACCAAGTACAGATTTTCCATCCGCTTGATTGTATCTATGAATGTATCCGCCTCTTCTGCCTTGGGAAAAGGGTTTCGCTTTGTGTTGAGCTTTTTCAGCTTGGGGAGCTTGGAGATGCTGGTGGGGACGGAGTTGAGCAGGTTGTCATGGAGACCCACCTCATGGAGCTCCTTCAGGGCGCCCAGCGTGGTGGGCACGCTGTCCAGGTGATTCAGGCCTAAGTTCACAGTGCGGATGTTCTTGAGCTGATTGAGCTCCACGGGCAGCCCGTTGGCGGTCAGCCTGTTGTTGCTCACGTTGAGGTAGAGCAGAGTGGTCATCTGGCCAATGGACTCAGGCAGCCTATCGATGTAGTTGCTGTGCAAGTCCAGCCACCGCAGGTTTTGGAACTTGGAGATGGAGTCAGGGATCTTCTTGATCATGTTCCGGCTAAGGTCGAGCTCGTCCACATCACTGAGGCGCAGGATGCACTTGGGGAAGGTGGTAATTCCCATCTTGCTCAAGTCGAGGCGTTTTTTCCCGTCGAATGTGATCTTGATGCAATTCTTGGCCACATTGAAGGTGATCTTTTTGCCCTTGGGGCCTTTGCCACCCTTGGCCATGTTCTTTTAGTTAAGGGAGTGTGTTTGAAGTAGATAGTTCTGATTGATTGGTGATCAGTTTGAGGAAAAAAGTCATATGAAACTGCTAGAAGGTACACTCTGGTAAGAAAAGAAAAAATATCTAGTTAGGAGAGGACATGAGGGTATAGGCTCCCCCTAAATCTTAATGCTTCACTCTCTCATGGTTGAAAAGGAGATCGAGAGGAAAGTGGAGAAAAATTAGGCCATGAGCAGAAGTAGCCTAGCCAAAGAGCGTTAGCAAACCGAATGCCCGCTTCACACTTCAGTGCTCCCAGATGTAAAATGGGAGGTCCAGGGTTGGCCTGAAGGATGCTTACCACCCCTCTGGCTACGCCAGTCCCCAACTACAATCCGTTGTCCTGGACTTTGACATATTTCCCCTCCTGGGGACATGTGTTTTCGTGTGTGTTGGGGTGGGGGCGGCCTTGGATAGCTGCCATTTCCCAGATCGCTACTTAAATCTAGTCTTTTCTCAGAGTTATCTCATGAGTTCCTAGGGTGGGATGGTTGAGGTCTCAGAAGCAACGCAGCCTGGAGATGAGGGAACAAGACGGGAGTTAAGAATGACACGTGTGTTACCTCCCTCTTCACCATCTGGAATTAGTCAGGCCTTGGTTCCTATGACTGCATTGCAATAAATGCAGCACAGAGAGGTCTTTGGCTCGACCCACCAGCAGAAGGATGTACCGCTGTGCCCATGAGCACGGACGGGGCCAGCGTGGAGCCTGGCGGAACCAAAACGAGAATGCTGCCTTTTTCCACCTCCTACCCCCTTACCTCCCTCCCCTCACATCCTTCACACTGAAATTCAGCTGTGGACACCTCTGCACCTGTAGGTGTGATAACAGGACTGCTGCCATCGGAGAAGGAGAACGTACAGAGTGATGGGTGGATTCTGGCCTCAAATGCTTGCTTAGAATCCAGTTCTTCCCCAATTGTCTTACATATTCAGTGCCTCAGTTTCCTCATTTGTGAAAACAGCCCCCCGTTAGGACTCTTTGGGAATGTAAATTATCTAAACTACAAAATGTTTACAGCAGTGCCTGGCACGTAGTAAAACCCTAATTAACTATTAAATGTTATTATCAGGAACTTCGCACATACTGATTTTAATCCTCAACAGTCCATCAAGGTCCACAGGATTACCCCCATTATTAAGAGAAGAAGACTGAGGCTCGGGAGTGAGGGAGGTCTACAGCTCGGAAGAGGATGCAACTGGCCTGCCTGTTCTCGAGGCTCTTTTCTTTTCTACAACTTGGTGCTTCTTGCTTGCTGCTTTTCTATTTTGGACCAAGCTCCCACTCTGGACAGAAGCATGCTGTCAGGAGACAAATGCTAGAACTGCCTCCGTTCCCTGGCAGGCATGGGTGGGAGAGGGGCTCTGCAGTCTCTCCACTTCATCATCCAGGCCCTTTGTCAGGAACCACATTTCTGTCATACATACAGCGCCAGCAATCAGGCTGTGTGAGCCTAGCATCCCCTGTTTTCCTGGTACAGTAATCCTCAGTGTCAAAGGAAGTAGGCAGAAATGCCTCCCATGTGCTTATTATAAATCCCACTGTTGCCACTCCTAGCTGGAGGTCAGAGCTGCCCACCCTGTGCAAGTCCCGCTGGACCAGAGCCTCTGGAGCTGGGTGGGGGCCTCCGTGATAACCCAGTGAGAGTCCTCTCAGCCCTCAGCAGCACTGACGTTCTCTGGAGCAGGCCTTGCAAGCTGAACCTGTTCTTCAGAAACAATGGGCCGACCGCATTCAGGCGTAATTGGCTGGTTACCAAAGACAGTCCTGGCTTGACCAGTACTGAAGTGTGTGTATCATGCTACTGTGAGGAAGTGGATGGGATAAAGCAGTTTAAAAAGGAGAGCTGGGGTTTCAGTCACAGTTAAAATGCAGTATCACCCACTGAGTGCAGCTGAAGGTCCCGGACAGCGCGCGCGGAGCAGCTGGCACACTGACATCTCTGAAGATAAAGGGTATCGGACAGACTGGAGGCATAACTCAAAGTAAGACCAGCTTTGAACCAATGACAACAGAATTCCAAGAAAAGCCTCTTTTACTGGCCAAGGTTGGGAAAGGGAACCTTTCAGGGTCAAAGAGAGTGAAGGAGATCTCCTGTTGTTTTTCTGTTTTTTCCATTCTCGCCTGCCTCAGCCCCAGGCAATCCTATCTCACTGGAGTCAGGCAGGCAGGCACCTAAAACTCTGCAGGAGAATAACAATTGTCTTTGACCAAATTGTCATCCCACGAGTGTAGAAGTTTGCTTTTTCCTCTCTGTCTCGCTGCCACTTGGTCCTGGAGGCAGAAACCATGGCAGGAAGTACACAGCAGGTTTAGAAAACAAGATTCCTGGATTTCTAGCCAGAAGACCAAGGATGGGGCAGGGGGCAGCTCTTGGGAAACACGAAGCGTTGGGGAGATTGCAAAAAGAAGAGAGTTGAATAAAGTTGTGTGTGAACTCCTGGTCGCACCCTAAGCTGCCTATGAATAATGGATAAAATCCTGAACTGGGTCTTTAGTGCCTAATCCCAAACCCTGAACCCAAAGGCACTGTGAACTGAGCGAAGAGAGAGACCACTGTGCAGGTTCCAGCCTGGTGCCTGAGTAGCAACATGAAGGACTAGTTTGAAAAGCACTGTAAATTCTTTGAACACTGAATGGGACACTATAACCATAATCTACAGAAGCTACAGAAGGTTTGCCAGAACTCGTGACTTGTGACTGTCTGCTCAAAATATACATCTATCATTATCAATATATGAATACATTCTATAAAAAGTAGAAGACAGAGAGCTGTGGTGCAGAAAAATATTTTAAGGAAAAATGAGTAAAAACTTCCAAAAGTTGGTGAGAGACATAAAAATTACAGATTCAAGAAGCTCAGGGAATCCCAAACAGGATAAACTCAAAGAAGTCCACGTTCAGACATAATCAAACCACTCAAAATTAAAGAAAAAACTAAAGAAAAACAAATTACACATTGCTTGCAGGGAACAGCAGTGTGAATGACTTCAGGTTTCTCACTAGAAACCATGGAGGTCAGAGGTACTGGAAAAATATTTTTAAAATAATGCTGAAAATACAGGACTGTCAGCCAGCAATCCTTTATGAATGAAGGCAAACGAGACATTCTCAGCTGAATGAAATATAAGAGGATTTGCCACTAGCTGAGCTTTTATGAAAGAAATGCTAAAGGAAGTCTTCAGGTAAAAGAGAAACAATACTAAAGAGAAACTTGGACTTTGAGAATCAAGGGAGAGCAATGGAAATGATAGGTATCTGGAAAATATAATAGACTATTTTTCTCGTCTTATGATCTTTAAAATATGTGTGATAGTTGAAAGCAAACATTTTAATGCTGTACATGTATGTAGACGGAGTGCAAATGACAACTACAACATAATGGGGGAAGTTAATGAGACCGATAGGTAGGTAAGATTTTTACACTGTTTTTGAAGTAGTAAAATATTAATTCTAAATAGTCTGTAGAGAGTTAAGGGTGTATATTTTAATCTCCAGAGTAATCAGAATGGATAATTATCAGGATGGATTATAAAAGAAAAAGGCCGAATTATATGCCATCTATAAGAAATCCACTCTAAGTAAACAAAAGTAAGTTAAACTAAGGGAATGGAAAAAGACATACTATGCAAACACTAAAGGGAAGCTGCAGTGACTTTACTAATAACAGACAAGGTATATTTCAGAGCATGAAAATTTACCTGAGATTAAGAATATCACAAGAGACACTTTAACAAGAAGATACAAAAAGCCTAAATGTGTATGTACTTAACAATAGAGCTTTAATATAGATGAAGCAAAAAAATGACAAAATTTGAAGGAGAAATGGGCAAATTCATAATTAAAGTTGGAGACAGCAATACTTCTCTCTCAAATCAATAGAAGTAGAGAGAAAATCAGCAAGGAATGGGGTTTCTCAATCATGGCTCTGTTAATATTTTGGGCCAGATAGTTCTTTGTTGTTGGCAGGAGTGGGGTGGTGATGGGAGGAAGGCCTGTCCTATGCGTTGTAGGATATTTAGCAGCAGAAAGCCAGAATATTCTACCCACTAAAAGCCAGTAGCTCTCCATTAGCTGAACAACCAATAATGCTTTTAAACATTGCCATCTGTCCACTGGGTAGCAAAATTGCCCCCACATGAGAACCACTGATGAAGAACTAAACATTACCATCAACCAACTGGATCCAATTGACATTTATAAAACACTCTACCCAGCACAGAATACACATTCTTTTCAAGTGCATATGTAATATTCACAAATATAGACCCTCTTCTTGGTCATAAAACAAATCTTAACAATTGAATTGAAATCATATACAGAGTGTTCTCTAAAAATAATGGAATTAAATTAGAAGACAATATTAGAACAATAACTAGAAAATCTCCATATAGTTAAAAAATTAACATATTCATAAATAAGCCTTGAGTCAAATAAATCTCAAGGGAAATTAGAAAATATTTTGACCTGAACAAATACAAAAATGGAACATATTAAAACTTATGGTATGCAACTAAAGCAGCGATTAGAGGAAAATTTATAGCTTTAAATGTTCACATTAGGGACATTTAAAAAAGAAAGTTCTCAAATCAATAATATAAACTCCTACCTTAAATAAACTAGTAAAGAAGAGCAAAATAAACTAAAGCATGAACAGAGAGAAGATAATAAAGATGAGCAGAAGTCAATAAAATTGAAAGAATAAAGACAGTAGAGAAAAATCCATAAAATTAAAAGCTGGTTCTTTGAAAGGTTTAATAAAATTGATAAATCTCTAGCCAGGCTGACAATAAAAAAAGGAGAGAAGACATAAATGATGAATATCAGTAATTAAAGCAAGGATATGACTGAAAACCTATAGGCATTAAAAGTATAAGAGAATAGTACAACTTTAGAAAAAAACTTAGATGAAATCAACCACAAACTAAAGAATTTAACCCATGAAGAAAGAGACAACCCTTAAAGACCTATATTTATTAAAGAGACTGAATTCACAGTTGAAAATCTTTCCCCCAAAACCCCTCCGGGCTGAAATGGTTTTACTGGCAAATTCTGCCAAAT